ATCGGCAGACTATATCCTATAGCTGCTATATAACTGATTGATCGGAAATGCCATAACTTTGGTGTTTGTAAAGTTAGGAAGCTGGGATTTTCTATGGGTTTTATATTTGACCAATTAATCCGACCTATTAAATTTCATAAGGATCGGACGACTATATCTTATAGCTGCCATATAACTGATTGATCGGAAATGCCATAACTTTAGTGTTTGTTAAGTTAGGAAGTTGGGATTTTCTATGGGTTTTATTTTTGCCCAATCAATCCGACATATCAAATTTCATAAGGATCGGCCGACAATATTCTAAAGCTGCCATATACATAACTGAACGATTGGAAATGCCATAACTTTGGTGTTTTTAAAGTTAGGAAGTTTGGATTTTTTATGAGTATTAAGAATGCATCATATGAATAATTTTGGAGAATATAATTTGCAGAATATTCTGCAAGGGTATTTCAACTTCGGCTCCGCCCGAAGTTAGCTTTCCTTTCTTGTTCAATTTAACTTTGATCAAATTTTTCACCCATTTTCATGTCAGTTATTTCTAATTTGACTTGTTTAACGTTGACCCAAAATAGGACTTAGAGAGTCCATAACTTAACCAAACTTAAGCCGATTCCAAAGTGGCATACCTCTAAAGACTTCTGATTCGATTCTCTAAAAATCTGCATTCAAATTTTTCAATTTAACGTTGATCAAATTTTTGACCCATTTTCATGTCAGTTATTTCTAATTTGACTTTTTTAACTTTGACCCAAAATTGAACTTCGAGAGTCCATAACTTTACCAAGCTTAAGCCGATTGCAAAGTGGCATACCTCTAAAGACTTCTGATTCGATTCTCTAAAAATCTGCATTCAAATTTTTCAATTTAACGTTGATCAAATTTTTGACCCATTTTCATGTCAGTTATTTCTAGTTTTCCGAGGACTTGTAACAGAGTGACTCAAAATTGGAATTAGAGAGTCCATAACTTTATCAAACTTAAGCCGATTCCAAAGTGGCATACCTCTAAAGACTTCTGATTCGATTCTCTAAAAATCTGCATTCAAATTTTTCAATTTAACTGTGATCAAATTTTTCACCCATTTTCATGTCAGTTATTTCTTATTTGACTTGTTTAACTTTGACCCAAAATTGAACGTCGAGAGTCCATAACGTTACCAAACTTAAGCCGATTCCAAAGTGGCATACCTCTAAAGACTTCTGATTCGATTCTCTAAAAATCTGCATTCAAATTTTTCAATTTAACGTCGATTAATTTTTTGACCCATTTTCATGTCAGTTATTTCTAATTTGACTTGTTTAACTTTGACCCAAAATTGAACGTCGAGAGTCCATAACGTTACCAAACTTAAGCCGATTCCAAAGTGGCATACCTCTAAAGACTTCTGATTCGATTCTCTAAAAATCTGCATTCAAATTTTTCAATTTAACGTTGATCAAATTTTTGACCCATTTTCATGTCAGTTATTTCTAGTTTTCCGAGGACTTGTAACAGAGTGACTCAAAATTGGAATTAGAGAGTCCATAACTTTATCAAACTTAAGCCGATTCCAAAGTGGCATACCTCTAAAGACTTCTGATTCGATTCTCTAAAAATCTGCATTCAAATTTTTCAATTTAACTGTGATCAAATTTTTCACCCATTTTCATGTCAGTTATTTCTTATTTGACTTGTTTAACTTTGACCCAAAATTGAACTTCGAGAGTCCATAACTTTACCAAGCTAAAGCCGATTGCAAAGTGGCATACCTCTAAAGACTTCTGATTCGATTCTCTAAAAATCTGCATTCAAATTTTTCAATTTAAAGTTGATCAAATTTTTTAACCATTTTCATGTCAGTTATTTCTAGTTTTCCGAGGACTTCTAACAGAGTGACCCAAAATTGAACTTCGAGAGTCCATAACTTTACCAAGCTAAAGCCGATTGCAAAGTGGCATACCTCTAAAGACTTCTGATTCGATTCTCTAAAAATCTGCATTCAAATTTTTCAATTTAACGTCGATTAATTTTTTGACCCATTTTCATGTCAGTTATTTCTAATTTGACTTGTTTAACTTTGACCCAAAATTGAACGTCGAGAGTCCATAACGTTACCAAACTTAAGCCGATTCCAAAGTGGCATACCTCTAAAGACTTCTGATTCGATTCTCTAAAAATCTGCATTCAAATTTTTCAATTTAACGTTGATCAAATTTTTGACCCATTTTCATGTCAGTTATTTCTAGTTTTCCGAGGACTTGTAACAGAGTGACTCAAAATTGGACTTAGAGAGTCCATAACTTTATCAAACTTAAGCCGATTCCAAAGTGGCATACCTCTAAAGACTTCTGATTCGTTTCTCTAAAAATCTGCATTCAAATTTTTATACCCTTGCAGAGGGTATTATAATTTTGGTCAAAAGTGTGCAACGCAGTGAAGGAGACATCTCCGACCCTATAAAGTATATATATTCTTGATCAGGATCACCTCCTGAGTTGATATAGCCATGTCCGTCTGTCCGTCTGTCTGTCCGTCTATCTGTCCGTCTGTCTGTTTCTACGCGAACTAGTCTCTCAGTTTTAAAGATATCGAATTGAAACTTTGCACACACCCTTCTTTCCTTTGCACGCAGTATATAAGTCGGAACGGCCGGGATCGGCCGACTATATCCTATAGCTGCCATATAACTGATTGATCGGAAATGCCATAACTCTGCTGTTTGTTAAGTTAGGAAGTTGGGACTCTCTATGGGTATTATATTTGGCCAATCAATCCGACGTACCAAATTTCATAAGGATCGGCAGACTATATCCTATAGCTGCTATATAACTGATTGATCGGAAATGCCATAACTTTGGTGTTTGTAAAGTTAGGAAGCTGGGATTTTCTATGGGTTTTATATTTGACCAATTAATCCGACCTATTAAATTTCATAAGGATCGGACGACTATATCTTATAGCTGCCATATAACTGATTGATCGGAAATGCCATAACTTTAGTGTTTGTTAAGTTAGGAAGTTGGGATTTTCTATGGGTTTTATTTTTGCCCAATCAATCCGACATATCAAATTTCATAAGGATCGGCCGACAATATTCTAAAGCTGCCATATACATAACTGAACGATTGGAAATGCCATAACTTTGGTGTTTTTAAAGTTAGGAAGTTTGGATTTTTATGAGTATTAAGAATGCATCATATGAATAATTTTGGAGAATATAATTTGCAGAATATTCTGCAAGGGTATTTCAACTTCGGCTCCGCCCGAAGTTAGCTTTCCTTTCTTGTTCAATTTAACTTTGATCAAATTTTTCACCCATTTTCATGTCAGTTATTTCTAATTTGACTTGTTTAACGTTGACCCAAAATAGGACTTAGAGAGTCCATAACTTAACCAAACTTAAGCCGATTCCAAAGTGGCATACCTCTAAAGACTTCTGATTCGATTCTCTAAAAATCTGCATTCAAATTTTTCAATTTAACGTTGATCAAATTTTTGACCCATTTTCATGTCAGTTATTTCTAGTTTTCCGAGGACTTTTAACAGAGTGACTCAAAATTGGACTTAGAGAGTCCATAACTTTACCAAACTTAAGCCGATTCCAAAGTGGCATACCTCTAAAGACTTCTGATTCGATTCTCTAAAAATCTGAATTCAAATTTTTCAATTTAACTATGATCAAATTTTTCACCCATTTTCATGTCAGTTATTTCTTATTTGACTTGTTTAACTTTGACCCAAAATTGAACTTCGAGAGTCCATAACTTTACCAAGCTAAAGCCGATTGCAAAGTGGCATACCTCTAAAGATTTCTGATTCGATTCTCTAAAAATCTGCATTCAAATTTTTCAATTTAACGTCGATTAATTTTTTGACCCATTTTCATGTCAGTTATTTCTAGATTTCCGAGGACTTGTAACAGAGTGACTAAAAATTGGACTTAGAGAGTCCATAACTTAACCAAACTTAAGCCGATTCCAAAGTGGCATACCTCTAAAGACTTCTGATTCGATTCTCAAAAATCTGCATTTAAATTTTTCAATGTCAGTTATTTCCAATTTTCCGATGACTTGTAACAGAGTGACTCAAAATTGGACTTAGAGAATCCATAACTTAACCAAACTTAAGCCGATTCCAAAGTGGCATACCTCTAAAGACTTCTGATTTGATTCTCTAAAAATCTGCATTCAAATTTTTCAATTTAACTTTGATCAAATTTTTCACCCATTTTCATGTCAGTTATTTCTAATTTGACTTGTTTAACTTTGACCCAAAATTGAACTTCGAGAGTCCATAACTTTACCAAGCTAAAGCCGATTGCAAAGTGGCATACCTCTAAAGACTTCTGATTCGATTCTCTAAAAATCTGCATTCAAATTTTTCAATTTAACGTAGATTAATTTTTTGACCCATTTTCATGTCAGTTATTTCTAGATTTCCGAGGACTTGTAACAGAGTGACTAAAAATTGGACTTAGACAGTCCATAACTTTACCAAACTTAAGCCGATTCCAAAGTGTCATATCTCTAAAGACTTCTGATTCGATTCTCTAAAAATCTGCATTCAAATTTTTCAATTTAACTTTCATCAAAAACAACAAACAACAGCCGGAGAGTGCAGACGTGTTTTGCGCGAGCTCCGGAAAAAAACCGCTCAAAAGTGAAAAACAATAACTAAAAATACTAGAGTGGTGTAATAAAGGCAATCTTATTGCTAACAAGAAAGGAAAGTTAACTTCGGGCGGAGCCGAAGTTGATATACCCTTGCAGAATATTCTGTAAATTATATTCTTCAAAATTTGAATTGAACGTATCTACCTTTTTCAGCCACTTTTATAATGCAAGGGAGTGACAGTAACGGGCAGTAACGGTCATACAAATTACGACTGGGTTTACATGCTTTAGTTTACAACCCATTACTTTTTAGATAACAGAGACATTTTATTTAAAGAAATCCACGGGATTATCCCATTATAACTTGGTAAACAGGTCAAATTTGGCAAACGTTCAATTGGTTCAATGAACACGTGCAAGGGGCAGGAATTGTACAAAGATCCTGAACTTCGCAACCGGTAACGCAGGTATGAGTGGCTTTGTAACTGTACAATATCAGGTAATACCTTTTCTAGGACCAAAATTATTCATAACATTTAAATTGCACAACAGGTAGCACAGGTACATACAAAAACATGATTTTTTATTGCCTTTTTTAAAAGGGTCAAACTAGGGAACCTTTAAAGGATCTAGGGATAATTCTTTTTAATTTGGGATATTACCTAACTTGGCTATATATTTAGAAATCCTATATTCCGTAGATCAGTCAATGAAAAAATTTATCGAGTGACGACGTTACAAGTGCAAAAATTATTTTTTACAAGTGATACAAATTATTTTTTACAAGTGATACAAATTATTTTTTACAAGTGATAAAAATTATTTTTTACAAGTGATACAAATTATTTTTTACAAGTGATAAAAATTAAATGTAATAGCGTGCTATTCGAAACACAAACTTTGGTAAGTACATTTTACTAATAACTTTCAAATTCTAATAAAAGGTGCAGGTGATTTTATATATATATCATTTCATAATTTTTATTTTTTCATACAGCACTATAAAAAATGCCACGTGTATCACATTTGTCACAGGAGCAACGTCGCCAAGCTGCTTTAAGTCACAGTAGAGCCCGCTATGAACGGAATGCGTCCCAAATAAGAGCTCGAAACTCTCAACATATCGCCAATGTTCGCGACAATAACCCTAACTTTCGGGAGGAAAGTCGTGCTCAGGATTCCACTGCCCGCGCGCAGCGGAGAAGAAGTGAAAGGGTTCGCAACCTTGAACGAATTCGGGACGCACAAGCGCATTCAAATCGCCGGGAGGACTCTGAGGAGCGAAGACAAGAGCAGTTGCGAAACACTGCTGAGCATGCGTCTCGGAGGACTAACCCAGAAATGCGTTCTGCGGAGCGTATTGAGGATGCTGCAAGACATTCGAATCGTCGACAGAACTCTGAGGAGCGAAGACAAGAGCAGTTGCGAAACACTGCTGAGCATGCGTCTCGGAGGACTAACCCAGAAATGCGTTCCGACGGATTCGGGACATGGATGCACATTCGATCCGTCGAGAGGACCCCGAGGAGCGAAGACGAGAGCAGTTGCGAAACACTGCTGAGCACTCTACTCGGAGGACTTTTCCGGAGTTTCGAATTCCTGAACGGATCCGGGACATGGATGCACACGCGATCCGTCGAGAGGACCCCGAGGAGCGACGACGAGAGCAGTTGCGAAACACTGCTGAGCACTCTAATCGGAGGACTATTCCGGAGTACCGAAATCCTGAACGGGTTCGGGACGCCGCAGCGCGTACTATTCGGCGAGAAGACACCGAGGAGCGGCGACAAGAGCAGGTGCAAAATACTGCTGACCATGCCACTCGGAGGAACAATCCCGAATTTCGAATTTCAGAGCGGATTCGGGACGCCGCAGCACGAGCTGCTCATCGCGAGGACCCAGAGGAACGTGCAAGGGAACAGGAAAGGAACACTGGAGAGCACCGACAGCGACGAAGGGATATGGAAGACAGGCAGCGAGAACGGGAAAGGGACGCCGATAACAGGAGAGCAACCAGGAGAAATCCCATCGCTAGATCACAGGAGCAACGGATAAACACATCACAACGCCGGGAAACACGACAACAGCGGAGGATTCGGGAAGAACAAATTCGGCAAATGGCAGAGGATCGATTATTAAACTTTAGGATGGACTCACAAAATCGACTGGATGCCTCCCAAAGGCAGTCGCAAAGAAACATGGACGCAAGAGCTCAACTTTCGGAGGATGAACTGGCACGGGAACGAGGACAACAGCGAAATAGGATTCGATCATCAGCGAGGGATCTGTACCACAGGAACATTAAGGAAGGCCCAACGGCTATTTGTATTTGCTGTGGAGGAACATGGTTCCGTTCGCAGGTAAGTGGATTATCAATCCTGGCTATCTCCTCTAAATTTCCTCTCCTAAACGTTGGCAACGCCTTTTATTTGTCAAGAAAATTTCCCAGTCCGTCCGGCAAATATAACTTTTGCCACACTTGTCGTCGTGCCATTTCTCTTGGCAAACTCCCATCACTCTGCCTTTCTAATGGGTTCGATTTCCCAGAAATTCCTGAGTGCTTAAATGGACTCACCTGCCTCGAAGAACGTCTTATTTCACCGAGAATCCCTTTTATGAGGATTATTTCCCTCGGCTATGAAAGGCAATGTGGAATCAGAGGGGCAGTGGTGAATGTTCGAATTTTAGTTCCCGGTATTGTGACTGCGCTTCCACGCTCTTTCGACTCTACCCATGTCATCCAAGTCCATTTAGGAGACTAGAGCACGCGCACAATTTCAAGACTGAAACTATTCGACCCGCTCGGGTCCTTGTAGCTGTACGGTACTTAGTAAATACCGAGCTCTACAGAAAGCACAACATTTCACTAAACGAATCATGGCTAACAGAACTTCAAGGTATTCATGAAATTCCTTTTATTGCGGACGAATCTGATCGCGAAGCAGTAGAACAACTTCTTCACCAGCAGCACCACTCCCAAAATGCTTCAGAGCTCGAAGAAAATTTAAATCCCGGAGGCCATGAAACATTATTGGAAAATAATGATACTGCAATTCAGCGCATTGCATTGGCACCGGGTGAAGGCCGTCGGCCAACAAGCTTAACGCTTGACGAAGACGCAGAGGAACTTTCCTTTCCAACTATTTCTTGCGGAGAAATATTTAAAGGAAATACAACCTATGCGAAAAAAGCCAGATCCCAAATCCGTTTTTACGACCGTCGTTGCGCTGTAGTTCCAAAAGTTTTATACATGTATAAATTTTACGAAATGCAGCGCATACAAAATTCAATTTCAATTGCTTTACGTAAAAAGTCAGGAGCGGTTACCGCTGGTAATCTGCGGGATGTATCATTTGTTGACCGTCTTGTGCAACATGATGATGGCTACCACATCCTGAAAGGCTTACGGTCTGCACCAGCTCATTGGGAGGCTGAGAAAAAAAGTTATAGCCATGATTCGACAATTTGGGCTGCCAACGTTTTTCATAACTCTTTCCGCTGCTGAAACTAAGTGGAATGAACTTTTAGTTATCCTGTCTCTTCTATTGGATAATAGGGCTATAAGCGAGGAAGAAGCGGCAGCTCTTTCCAGCTCCGAAAAGGCTCGGTTAATCCGATCCGATCCAGTGACGTGCTCTCGATACTTCGATTACAGGTTGCGACAATTAATGAAATTGTTCAAAACCGATATTTTTGGGGAATTCAATCTTTCTCATTTTTATTGGAGAATCGAGTTCCAGCACAGAGGATCTCCACATTCTCATGGCATGTACTGGCTTGCTGGTGCTCCTAAGCTCGAAGACAACGAAAATACCGAGCAAGTAATAAACTTTATTGATAGGTTTATTACTACAAATGGAGACGATACTGAACTACAAGAAGTAATTCAGTATCAACGCCACAAGCATAGTGCTTCTTGCCTAAGAGAGTTACGCGGACAGGAGTTCTGCCGATTCAATATGCCATATCCTCCTATGCCCGAAACGCTTATTTTGCATCCAATAGAAGAAAACGAAGTCAATATTGAAGATCATAAAACTTTGTTTAAAAAAATTAAGGAAGCTTTAAGGACCATTTCAAATGAAGACGCAGCTTTATTTAACAATTTTGATCATTTTCTGTCCCACCTTGAAACTAATTTTGAAGCCTACAAGCTAGCCTTACGTTCCAGCTTAAAAAAGCCACAAATTTTTCTTCGCAGACAATTCTCCGACCGACTGCTCAATGCTTATAATAGAGATATTCTAGGCTTGCACAGAGCTAATATGGATATTCAATTTATCCTAGATGCGTACGCCTGTTGTAGTTATATCATTAACTACATAAACAAATCAAACAGAGGCGTATCGCAGTTGCTCCGTGAAGCCATGGCAGAAATAAGCCATGGGAATATTTCTATTAAAAGGAAATTACAGCACCTAGGGAATAAGTTTATTAACGCAACAGAAATATCGGCCCAAGAAGCAGCTTACAATATTTTGGGTCTGCATATGTCGGAGGCAAGTGAAGGTACTATTTTTGTAAACACTTGCCATCCAGACAAACGAGTTCGATTGGCTCGCTCAAATGAAGAATTAGAGCGACTTCCAAACAACTCGGTCGATATTTTTGAGCGTAATATTCTTGACCGATATGTGCAAAGGCATGAGCAGTTGGAAGGAATTTGTTTAGCAGATTTCGCAGCTTGGTACAGATTTGTCAAGCGGATTGCACGATCTGCCGCTAATCATAGGGAAGACTATGATGAAGCAAATGATGTGGAGGTAGATGACGAAGATGAAGTTGCTGAGCAAAGTTATCCACTGATGGATGGGTCTGGTTGCGTTAAGAAACGTAGGCATCCCCTGATTCTAAGGTGGGTTCGCTTTAGCATAAACTCTTCACCTTGCGATTATTTCCGAGAGCATTTAATGCTCTTCTATCCTTGGCGAAATGAAGAAGCTGAACTTCTTTCCAACGACATTGAAAACACATTCCGAGTAAACCATGAAGCCATTAAGATAATGAAAAGGAACTATGATGTGTTTGATGATATGGAGTTAGAAAGAGTTCTGGAAGATTTGCAAGAGGATAGGGAGATAATGCTCCTGATGCGGAAGAACCTGCCTCACAATTTTTAGACGAAGAGTTTAGAGCTTTGGCTGTACCAAATATAGAGCGGAACGTAAATATTCTTCAGGAGGACAATGCGATAAACAACCCTGAAGAAGACGGCGAACTTCAATTAATTAGACTCCCCCGTTAGTTTCCAATGATGACCTTTGCTCGCTAACTCGGTCCCTTAATTACAAACAAAGACTATATTATGCACATGTGATGCATAATGTTGTTAGTAAAAAATATGTTTTACGAATATGTTGGTGGAGGGGCCGGTGTAGGAAAAAGCAGACTGATTTCTACCATCTATCAGTCTGTGACTTGGCGAGCAAATAAGCTTCCTGGTGCTACGGATTCAGCAAAGGTTTTATTATGTGCTCCGACTGGAAAAGCTGCTTTTGGAATTGGAGGACTGACTCTACATTCAGTGTTTTCTCTTCCAATTAATCAGGCTTCAGGTCCCTTAAGACCTTTAAGCAATGATAGTTTAAATACAATTCATTGCAAGTTGATTGATCTCCAACTGATTATAATTGATGAAATTTCTATGGTTGGTTCTAAAATGCTTTCATTTTTGGATCAACGGCTTCGTCAAATATTCCGAAGCCCTGACTTAAGTTTTGGTGGAAAATCAATTATAGTTTTTGGAGATCTAAAGCAGCTTTCCCCAGTTGGAGACAGTTGGATATTTTCGGAGAGGACAATTAATCCTTATAGCGTTTTAGCAGGAAATAGCTTATGGAACAACTTTAAGTATTTTGAGCTCACAGAAATAATGCGCCAAAGAGGCGACCATGCATTTGCTCAAGCCCTAAATCATTTATCTGAGGCTTGCATGACAATAGCAGATATAGAGCTCCTTAAACAAAGAGTTGTTTCACCCAGCGAAGTTCCTGATGATGCCATTCATTTATTTTCTTCTAACGAAGAAGTTAATAATTACAATTCCCTAAAACTAGCGCAAATTGGGACGGAAGAATTGGTTTCCACTGCTGTTGATACAGTGAAAACTGCGAACATATCTACACGAAACAGGGAAAACACGTTAAGATATGCTCAAAATATGAAAACCTCTGAAACACAGGGTTTGCCATATGTTCTTCATCTCAAAACAACTGCTAAATATATGGTGACCGTCAATATAGACACAAGTGACGGACTTGTAAATGGAGCAACTGGTCAGCTGATGCTAATTGACCATTGCTTAGTGAATGGCTTAAATTTAGTAACGCGACTTTGGATTAAATTTTTTGAACCCACGGTTGGCACTATCGCCAGATCAAAGGTTCGGAATAGTCCCGATCCCGAATGGACTCCAATAGTAAAAGCCTCTCGAGTTTTTCAATGTGGAAGATCGGAGCATGCTTCTGTTGACCGAAAACAATTTCCAATTGTTCCTGCTGAGGCTATTACCATCCACAAAAGCCAAGGAGCAACATATAGCAAAGTCGCCGTGCATCTTAAAAGAGGCATCAAGCGAGCTTCGTTGTATGTTGGATGCAGCAGAGCCACTAGCGCATCAGGACTTTTTCTTCTAGGCGACTTTGTTCCTCCAACAAGATTTGGAGCTCAAAATGTCCAAGACGAACTTAAAAAGTTAAGAGAGGAAAAGTTTTTGACTACGCATTATGAGTTTGTGGTTAACAGAAACGAAGACATCTCCCTTTATTACCATAACGTTGAGTCTCTTCGAAGCCATCGCGAAGATATTTTTAACGACCCTATTATTTGTTGTTCAAATTTTCTTTGTTTTGTCGAAACTTGGACTCTTCCCAGCGAAGACTTTTCTTCACAAGGTTTCGACATAATAAGAAGAATTGATAGCAATCGATTGAATGGTATTGGCAAAAATGGAATTATGATTTATGCCAAACAAAATATTGCCGAAAATGTAGTTTTCTTGTTTGAGACAAATAAGTCTTTGAGCTCAAGAACTATATACCAATCAATTGCCTTCAAATATCTTAATACATCCTTCATTGTTGTTTATAGGAATCCAACGTTTCCTATAGCACAATTTCGTAATGAAGTTATGTCGGACGTAGAAAGGATACGCAGCTTAGAAAATAATAGCAAATTGGTTATTTTAGGAGATTTTAATATTTGCAGATCCACAACCACTGATCGACTTGAGGAAGCTTTAAATCAATTTAATCTAATTCCAATCAATAATTATGCAACCACGAAACATTTGACGCAAATTGATTGGATTTTTGCTGAAAGTGAGCTGGGGAATGCTGTTGCTCTTACATACAAAACGAGCTATAGTCATCATGATGGAATTTTTTTAAGTATAGATATTAAGATTTCTTTATTAATTTATTTATTAATTTAATAACTTATTTATTTATTTGAATTGTATATATTTAGGTGAAATAGAAATAGATTATTATATTGTTTCAAGATTGTGATAAATTTTTTATTTATAAAGTGCAATATAGATTAAGCTTTATAATATTTCCCTCTCGTGGATTGAGACCTTGTCGTGGTGAGGGGGCTGAGTATGTGAGGATTCATAATAAATATCACGGAAACCAGCATCAATCCTTTGTTTTAACTAGTTCATAAAAAAACAAGAAAGGAAAGTTAACTTAGGACGGAGCCGAAGTTGGATATACCCTTGCAGAATATTCTGGGGGTAAATTATATTCTTCAAAATTTGAATTGATACGTATCTACCTTTTTCAGCCACTTTTATAATGCAAGGAGTGACAGTAACGGGCAGTAACGGTCATACAAATTACGACTGGGTTTACATGCTTTAGTTTACAACCCATTACTTTTTAGATAACAGAGACATTTTATTTAAAGAAAACCACGGGATTATCCCATTATAACTTGGTAAACAGGTCAAATGTTGGCAAACGTTCAATTGGTTCAATGAACACGTGCAAGGGGCAGGAATTGTACAAAGATCCTGAACTTCGCAACCGGTAACGCAGGTATGAGTGGCTTTGTAACTGTACAATATCAGGTAATACCTTTTCTAGGACCAAAATTATTCATAACATTTAAATTGCACAACAGGTAGACAGGTACATACAAAAACATGATTTTTTATTGCCTTTTTTAAAAGGGTCAAACTAGGGAACCTTTAAAGGATCTAGGGATAATTCTTTTTAAATTTGGGATATTACCTAACTTGGCTATATATTATAGAAATCCTATATTCCGTAGATCAGTCAATGAAAAAATTTATCGAGTGACGACGTTACTTACAAGTGCAAAAATATTTTTTACAAGTGATACAAATTATTTTTTACAAGTGATACAAATTATTTTTTACAAGGGTGATAAAAATTATTTTTTACAAGTGATACAAATTATTTTTTACAAGTGATAAAAATTAAATGTAATAGCGTGCTATTTGAAACACAAACTTTGGTAAGTATATTTTACTAATAACTTTCGAATTCTCCTAAAATGGCATTCCATGTAGGTGATTTTATATATATATCATTCCATAATTTTTATTTTTTCATGCAGCGCTATAAAAAATGCCACGTGTAACACATTTGTCACAGGAGCAACGCCGCCAAGCTGCTTTAAGCCGCAGTAGAGCCCGCTATGAACGGAATGCGTCCCAAATAAGAGCTCGAAACTCTCAACATATCGCCAATGTTCGCGACAATAACCCTAACTTTCGGGAGGAAAGTCGTGCTCAGGATTCCACTGCACGCGCGCAGCGGAGAAGAAGCGAAAGGGTTCGCAACCTTGAACGAATTCGGGACGCACAAGCGCATTCAAATCGCCGGGAGGACTCTGAGGAGCGAAGACAAGAGCAGTTGCGAAACACTGCTGAGCATGCGTCTCGGAGGACTAACCCAGAAATGCGTTCTGAGGAGCGTATTCAGGATGCTGCAAGACATTCGAATCGTCGACAGAACTCTGAGGAGCGAAGACAAGAGCAGTTGCGAAACACTGCTGAGCATGCTCTCGGAGGACTAACCCAGAAATGCGTTCTGCGGAGCGTATTGAGGATGCTGCAAGACATTCGAATCGTCGACAGAACTCTGAGGAGCGAAGACAAGAGCAGTTGCGAAACACTGCTGAGCATGCGTCTCGGAGGACTAACCCAGAAATCCGTATCCTGAACGGATTCGGGACATGGATGCACATTCGATCCGTCGAGAGGACCCCGAGGAGCGAAGACAAGAGCAGTTGCGAAACACTGCTGAACACTCTACTCGGAGGGCTATTCCTGAGTTTCGAATTCCTGAACGGATTCGGGACATGGATGCACACGCGATCCGTCGAGAGGACCCCGAGGAGCGACGACGAGAGCAGTTGCGAAACACTGCTGAGCACTCTACTCGGAGGACTATTCCGGAGTACCGAAATCCTGAACGGGTACGGGACGCCGCAGCGCGTGCTATTCGTCGAGAGGTCACTGAGGAGCGGCGACAAGAGCAGGTGCAAAATACTGCTGACCATGCCTCTCGGAGGAACAATCCCGAATATCGAATTTCAGAGCGAATTCGGGACGCCGCAGCACGAGCTGCTCATCGCGAGGACCCAGAGGAACGTGCAAGGGAACAGGAAAGGAACACTGGAGAGCACCGACAGCGACGAAGGGATGTGGAAGACAGGCAGCGAGAACGGGAAAGGGACGCCGATAACAGGAGAGCAACCAGGAGAAATCCCATCGCTAGATCACAGGAGCAACGGATAAACACATCACAACGCCGGGAAACACGACAACAGCGGAGGATTCGGGAAGAACAAATTCGGCAAATGGCAGAGGATCGATTATTAAACTTTAGGATGGACTCACAAAATCGACTTGATGCCTCCCAAAGGCAGTCGCCAAGAAACATGGACGCAAGAGCTCAACTTTCGGAGGATGAACTGGAACAGGAACGAGGACAACATCGAAATAGGATTCGATCATCAGCGAGGGATCTGTACCACAGGAACATTAAGGAAGGCCCAACGGCTGTTTGTATTTGCTGTGGAGGAACATGGTTCCGTTCGCAGGTAAGTGGATTATCCATCCTGGCTATCTCCTCTAAATTTCCTCTCCTAAACGTTGGCAACGCCTTTTATTTGTCAAGAAAATTTCCCAGTCCGTCCGGCAAATATAACTTTTGCCACACTTGTCGTCGTGCCATTTCTCTTGGGTTCGATTTCCCAGAAATTCCTGAGTGCTTAAATGGACTCACCTGCCTCGAAGAACGTCTTATTTCACCGAGAATCCCTTTTATGAGGATTATTTCCCTCGGCTATGAAAGGCAATGTGGAATCAGAGGGGCAGTGGTGAATGTTCCAATTTCAGTTCCCGATATTGTGACTGCGCTTCCACGCTCTTTCGACTCTACCCATGTCATCCAAGTCCATTTAAAAAGGAGACTAGAGTACGCTCACAATTTCATGACTGAAACTATTCGACCCGCTCGGGTCCTTCTACAGAAAGCACAACATTTCACTAAACGAATCATGGCTAACAGAACTTCAAGGAATTAATGAAATTCCTTTTATTGCTGACGAATCTGATCGCGAAGCAGTAGAGCAACTTCTTCACCAGCAACACCACTCCCAAAATGCTGCAGAGCTCGAAAAAAATTTAAATCCCGGAGGCCATGAAACATTATTGGAAAATAATGATACTGCAATTCAGCGCATTGCATTGGCACCGGGTGAAGGCCGTCGGCCAACAAGCATAACGCTTGACGAAGACGCAGAGGAACTTCCCTTTCCAACTATTTCTTGCGGAGAAATATTTAAAGGAAATACAGCCTATGCGAAAAAAGCCAGATCCCAAATCCGTTTTTACGACCGTCGTTGCGCTGTAGTTCCAAAAGTTTTATACATGTATAAATTTTACGAAATGCAGCGCATACAAAATTCAATTTCAATTGCTTTACGCAAAAAGTCGGGAGCGGTTACCGCTGGTAATCTGCGGGATGAATCATTTGTTGACCGTCTTGTGCAACATGATGATGGCTACCACATCCTAAAAGGCTTACGGTCTGCACCAGCTCATTGGGAGGCTGAAAAAAAAAAGTTATAGCCATGATTCGACAATTTGGGCTGCCAACGTTTTTTATAACCCTTTCCGCTGCTGAAACTAAGTGGAATGAACTTTTAGTTATCCTGTCTCTTCTATTGGATAATAGGGCTATAAGCGAGGAAGAAGCGGCAGCTCTTTCCAGCTCCGAAAAGGCTCGGTTAATCCGATCCGATCCAGTGACGTGCTCTCGATACTTCGATTACAGGTTGCGACAATTAATGAAATTGTTCAAAACCGATATTTTTGGGGAATTCAATCTTTCTCATTTTTATTGGAGAATCGAATTCCAGCACAGAGGATCTCCGCATTCTCATGGCATGTACTGGCTTGCTGGTGCTCCTAAGCTCGAAGACGCCGAAAATACCGAGCAAGTAATAAACTTTATTGATAGGTTTATTACTACAAATGGAGACGATACTGAACTACAAGAAGTAATTCAGTATCAACGCCACAAGCATAGTGCTTCTTGCCTAAGAGAGTTACGCGGACAGGAGTTCTGCCGATTCAATATGCCATATCCTCCTATGCCCGAAACGCTTATTTTGCATCCAATAGAAGAAAACGAAGTCAATATTGAAGATCATAAAACTTTGTTTAAAAAAATTAAGGAAGCTTTAAGGTCTATTTCAAATGAAGACGCAGCTTTGTTTAACAATTTTGATCATTTTCTGTCCCACCTTGAAACTAATTTTGAAGCCTACAAGCTAGCCTTACGTTTCAGCTTAAAAAAGCCACAAATTTTTCTTCGCAGACAATTCTCCGACCGACTGCTCAATGCTTATAATAGAGATATTCTAGGCTTACACAGAGCTAATATCGATATTCAATTTATCCTAGATGCGTACGCCTGTTGTAGTTATATCATTAACTACATAAACAAATCAAACAGAGGCGTATCGCAGTTGCTCCGTGAAGCCATGGCAGAAATAAGCCATGGGAATATTTCTATTAAAATGAAATTACAGCACCTACGAAAAGGTTTATTAACGCTACAGAAATATCGGCCCAAGAAGCAGCTTACAATATTTTGGGTCTGCATATGTCGGAGGCAAGTGAAGGTACTATTTTTGTAAACTTGCCATCCAGACAAACGAGTTCGATTGGCTCGCTCAAATGAAGAATTAGAGCGACTTCCAAACAACTCGGTGGATATTTTTGAGCGTAATATTCTTGACCGATATGTGCAAAGGCATGAGCAGTTGGAAGGAATTTGTTTAGCAGATTTCGCAGCTTGGTACAGATTTGTCAAGCGGATTGCACGATCTGCCGCTAATCATTGGGAAGACTATGATGAAGCAAATGATGTGGAAGTAGATGACGAAGATGAAGTTGCTAAGCAAAGTTATCCTCTGATGGATGGGTCTGGTTGCGTTAAGAAACGTAGGCATCCCCTGATTCTAAGGTGGGTTCGCTTTAGCATAAACTCTTCACTTTCCGATTATTTCCGAGAGCATTTAATGCTCTTTTATCCTTGGCGAAATGAAGAAGCTGAACTTCTTTCCAACGACATTGCAAAGGTTTTATTATGTGCTCCGAGTGGAAAAGCGGTTTTTGGAATTGGATGACTGACTCTGCATTCAGTGTTTTCTCTTCCAATTAATCAGGCTTCAGGTCCCTTAAGACCGTTAAGCAATGATAGTTTAAATACAATTCATTGCAAGTTGATTGATCTCCAACTGATTATAATTGATGAAATTTCTATGGTTGGTTCTAAAATGCTTTCATTTTTGGATCAACGGCTTCGTCAAATATTCCGAAGCCCTGACTTAAGTTTTGGTGGAAAATCAATTATAGTTTTTGGAGATCTAAAGCAGCTTTCCCCAGTTGGAGACAGTTGGATATTTTCGGAGAGGACAATTAATCCTTATAGCGTTTTAGCAGGAAATAGCTTATGGAACAACTTTAAGTATTTTGAGCTCTCGGAAATAATGCGCCAAAGAGGCGACCATGCATTTGCTCAAGCCCTAAATCATTTATCTGAAACTTGCATGACAATAGCAGATATAGAGCTCCTTAAACAAAGAGTTGTTTCACCCAGCGAAGTTCCTGATGATGCCATTCATTTATTTTCTTCTAACGAAGAAGTTAATAATTACAATTCCCTAAAACTAGCGCAAATTGGGACGGAAGAATTGGTTTCCACTGCTGTTGATACAGTGAAAACTGCGAACATATCTACACGAAACAGGGAAAACAAGTTAAGATATGCTCAAAATATGAAAACCTCTGAAACACAGGGTTTGCCATATGTTCTTCATCTCAAAACAACTGCTAAATATATGGTGACCGTCAATATAGACACAAGTGACGGACTTGTAAATGGAGCAACTGGTCAGCTGATGCTAATAGACCATTGCTTAGTGAATGGCTTAAATTTAGTAACGCGACTGTGGATTAAATTTTTTGAACCCACGGTTGGCACTATCGCCAGATCAAAGGTTCGGAATAGTCCCGATCCCGAATGGACTCCAATAGTAAAAGCCTCTCGAGTTTTTCAATGTGGAAGATCGGAGCATGCTTCTGTTGACCGAAAACAATTTCCAATTGTTCCTGAGATTTCTGATTAAACCGTCGTCGCATGCAGACGTGTATTTATTGTGCTCCGGGAAAAAATATTCAATAAAATCACAAAAGTGCAGTGACCGTTTTAATAATCTACTATAACGCGAAAAGACGCTTTCTGCGATGAAATCGCGAATGTTTATATTGATTGGTCATTTAATTAATATAAAACTTAACACTTAAAACTCTAATTAACTTTACCACGAATACAATGAGTCTGAACGACGTTCGCACGCAACGTCAACGTGAGCAAGACGAGAGACGGCTCTCAGTACAAAGAAATAACGCTTACTTCTCTTTTAAAGCAACCGAAAATAATGCAAGCTCTGATCAAGCGCGGGCAATTACCCCCAACTTGACCGAGTTCTTAAACGTATCGAGCGAGAGAGCGCGTTCTTGCTCCCCCTCGCTACCATCGACGTCTCTGCGGCCAAAGAGCGCTGCAAGTGCTCCAATGCAGGTATGCAATAACCTAAGCTCATCAGCAGTAACTAGCACCGCAATTTCTTTAACAACGTCAACTGTAACTACAACAACAACTGCAACAGTATCGACTGCTCGTTTAATGACATCATCAGCTAGCAGCGCAAATATTAATACGTCTGCCACTGCGCTGCCCGAAAAACAGAACAAAACCAATGAATGTACTAAGCCGGCTGTGCAGACTGGTATGGATCGCTACATCCAAATCAAAAGGAAGCTGAGCCCTCTAAATTCTCAACGCAAAATAACCCGTAACAATGCTAGCCTAGCTGGAATAGAAATGCCCACGAACTCAAACCGATTTAAAATCTTGGAAGACGCCTATGACGTTGAGGCGGCCGAATCCACTGAAGTCGAGAAAAGGAAGCCAAAACCTCCGCCTATTTATATTCGAGAAAAAAGTTCCAATGTTCTTGTCAACAAAATTATCGAGCTTATTGGAAAGGATAACTTCCACATAATACCTCTAGTAAAGGGCAACATCCAGGAAACAAAGGTTCAAATGAAGTCTGAAGATAATTACAGAGTATTATCGAAATATCTTTCCGAGAATAAAAAGAACTTTTACACGTATCAGCTAAAAAGTAGCAAGGGCCTGCAAGTCGTACTTAAGGGCATAGAGTCCGACGTAACGCCTGCAGAGATAACAAAGGCGCTTCAAGAGAAGGGATTTAACGCTAAGACAGTCTTCAACATCCTTAACAGGGATAGAAAGCCGCAGCCACTCTTTAAGGTTGAGCTCGAACCAGAAAATAAGCCCCTAAAGAAATACGAAGTGCACCCCATTTACAATCTTCAGTTCCTGCTGCACCGCAGAATTACAGTTGAGGAACCGCACAAACGCAATGGCCCGGTACAATGTGCGAACTGCCAAGAATATGGCCATACAAGGTCATACTGTAAACTGCGCCCGGTGTGTGTA